TTGTGCCACCTGAGGACCAACTTTCGAGCACCACTCTGGCCATCCTGTCATTGGCTCAGCCGATGCCGCTTGCTTCCTCAAAGGCGAAGCTGTGCGTCTCCTGTTGTATGTGGCCATACGCCAATGACAGTTTATCCTCACGATCGACTGCAAGCTGGTGCTCATGCAGTCCTGTGCAGAGGCGTTTGTCCGTTTTCACAACATACCTCGCACTGAAGTTTTGGCCCGGTATGCTGTGGACCACTACCGATTATTCCGTTGTTGTTGTTGACGCGTCTTTGGTTTTCATTATCCAGTCCCTGAAAGTGGATTTCGGTTTATGGGCCATCCCAATCCTAAAAGCGTTCAGGATTCTCGCTGACGCCTCCAAAATATTCCTTACATAGGGACTGCGAACCAAAACTTCGCTTTGTCACTGTTAGACCACTCGCGGGTAGGCTTTCTTCAACACTTACGTATGAATGATCGCGAGTAACTATTGGCTGTGAATAAGGAATTAAAGTATTTCGCTGCCTCCTTTCTCGCGCCGTCGTCATTACAGTGTGCTTGGACTTTTTAAAGTCGACACAACTGTGTTTGTGAGCACTAAGGTGGTTGCTCCGGAATTGCACGAAGCGTCTAGTATAGGTTGCCCTACGCTATACCGCAGTTCTGATCCCCCCACTAGCCATCGTCCTGACCTTTTCGTCAAGAAAGGGCAAATGGTTGTTGTTTTGCTCTTCCAATGTAAATGGATGTCGATTAAATTGAGTTCAACAAGACCCTGAATACCTGAACATCGTTCCTCTTAATTATGCGGTCCAGAATTTTGGGGATTGCGAACGGAAGGCTAGTCGCTCGGGCATCTGCAGAACCGCCTCGGCAATCAACCCGCACAGAGGGGAGCCCCTCGGTGTTCCTTTTTTGCTCGTAAACCCGGTCACTGAAAGTGAGAAAATTCCTGAGGCACAATCCCAGGATGTCGGTGACGAGTATTTGTTTAGGCTGTTGATAAACTTCATCATACTTCACCAGAAGAAGTTCGTCAAAAGTGCTGATGGCGACGCCGATTGGAACGGACGTAAATAAGGACATAATGCCAAACAATGCCATCATCTCGTCTGACTCTGTTTCAACATGTGTGATACTCTTCAGGAACTGTTCAGCCGATATCACTGTCCATTCGGAGTCCTAAATGCAAAAACAAGACCGTTAGCAAAGCCATTTCGACAGACAAAAGCTCGGGATTTTGCTTAGGGAGACGGGGACGTAGGGATACTCCTGGATTATGCACTTTGGCAGGCCATAGAGACACGTCATCTGTGGTTTTGCGGCCGGTGCCTCCTTTCCAAAAGGTCGGCGAATTTACATAAAACTGTTCCTGACTTATTTTGCCTTCATTCAGACAACCATCATCACCATCTACCCGACAGTTCGGTCGTCATTGCCGGCGTTGTTCACCGTATGCTCCACAGCAAGGTGAGAGCAGGCACGGTGACTCACGCGGGATTTCTTTTATAGTAACAGTGGACTTACGCAGCATCTACCGCACTCTGTTCTCCTCCCCCACCTGAGCTCGTTGTTATGGCATATTCAACAAGACTGAAAGCAGGAGAGGGCGCAGGTGGCTGGCACGGACAGACCCTCACCTAGGCGTACCACCACAACCCTGGTCCAAAACAAACATCTGTCCAGGACTTCAATCAACAACAAACATCGATCAGGAAGTGAGGAGTGACACAAGCCACTGGGCAACCCTGCGCAAGACCTGCTTATCCAACAGGAGGGCAAGCGCATTCACCAGCAGGGAACCAGGTGCCAATGAATTGCCAATGCACTCCAGACTGCCAGTTTCATGGTTTTCTGGATCGTGGCATAGCAGACGCACACAATCCTTAAATCCCCGAAGGGGAAGACGCAGCCCTACATCTAGCCTGGACCATCACTCTTCAAAGGCTGGTGTAACCAGTCAGTCATCGACTGAGAGGCATCACCCACAGCAATCACAAGAATGCACTAATAGAGATAAACGTACCAACACGGGTTCTGCAGGCACTGGGTCCTCAGAGCTTGGAAGGACAAGAGAGTCCTCTGGGAAACGGCAGGGCGTAGTAACACCGCCAAAGTAGAGCGATTGGCTTAACTTCAGACCACCATCTAGACAACCATGGGACAGTTCGACCGTCGTGCCCGACAATGTCCACCGTGTGTTACACAGCAAGGTGCAGCAGGTACGGTGACTTGCGCGTGAATTAGTTTATAGTAATAGATGATTTACGCGGCGTCTACCGCACTCTCTATTCCCCACTCACCAACTGCACCCGGTGTCAAGACGGAGTCAAGAAGACCGGAGGCGGGGGAGGGCGCAGGTGCCTGGCACGGCCGGTCTCGCACCTAGGCGTGCCACCACACCCCTGGCCCCTAACATACACTTGACCACGATTTCTCACCAATAACAACAACACCCGAACAGGGGTCAGGAGGGCGAGGATGACTGGGCAGCCATGCCCACCACCTGTATACCCAGCGTGAACTCAAGCGCATCCACCGGCAGGGAAGCAGGTGTCAGGAAACTGCCAGCGCATACCAGGCTGAGAGGGTCATGGTTTGCTGATACTGGCATAGTACATGATTTCAGACCTTTTGACCTACAAGGGCGACACCTGGCCCTGCATTTAGCCTGGGCGTCACCCTTCAAGGTTGGGTAGCCAGACAGTCGTCGATTGAGAGGCACTACCCATAAAACACACACCCAAACACAAACACTCTCCTCGCATGCATGAGAGTTTTACGAATCGCTTGAGAAGGGGCCGTGACAGCCTGTCTCTCAGCCCACCAGTCCGTCAATCCACACAACACACGCAACTGGACAGATTGCGTGGGCCAAGTTGGGGCGTCAGTCGGCTGCCCTTCGAGTCACGGCGCTCGGCACGCCGTCGTTGTCTCAGACTCCGACCACACATGCAGCAAGGGAACCGCATGGTGAAGGGGCCGAGACGCACACTTCCCACTTGCGTGGGGGATGGCAGTGGGGTGCTTGCGGTGGGTGATGTTAATGTGCGGTGAGATGGTGGTGAGGAGGGATGTGATGGTGTGATGCAACCGGCGGTTGTCTACCGCAGATTTTCGTGGACGCGCATGTGGCCGAATAGGCCCATGCGGTGCATGAATGTGCGAAGGCAGTGTGGACAGCGGAGGTGGATGCAGCGGGTGTAGGTTGGTGCTTCAAGCGCTGGTTTGCCAGTCATAGCGGCGAACGTTGAGGCGGTGGTGGAGGAGGGAGAAGGAGAAGAGGGGGGAGAAGGATGGAAGTGCTAGTTCGGGAGGGCAGTCAACGTTAATTGACGATGTGGGAGACGAGGGAGAGGTGGACGGAGAGACGAGGGTTGATGCACTTCGGGTGCTGCAGTTGGTATAGAGATGTCCAATAGATCCAATTTGCACCCGGAATGTCCGTTGACATCGTGGACACGTTGAAAGCGATAGGACGCTGGTGTTGTGAGGCGGCAGCGGCGGCGGCAGCGGCAGCGGCGGCGGCGGCAAGTGAGATTTGCGTGTCTCGCCTTTGGCTTTGGCGACGGTGATGCGGTTGACTTCGAGGATTTCTGGGCCTGTCTTCACTGTTATCCTCCACGTAGGCCAGTCACGGTGAGGTCTTCCCAGTTTGCCGGGTTGATCTGCAGGTGCTTCAGGGAGGTTTTCAGAGTATCCTTGTAGCGCTGGACTTAACCTACTTGTCGGCGTGAACCCGTCGCGACATCTCCATAGAAAAGTCGTTTGGGTGGCTTCTCGTCGTCCATCCGTACGAGGTGGCCGCCTCAGCGTAGTTGTACAGTAGATGTGCTAACTCATGAATGGTCAACCAACATTTCGAAATGCGTTCTCGTTTTGAAAAGATAAATTAAGTAGTGTTGTAAAACTAATAATGATGCAGCATAAATCTATAATGATCCAGTTACCTCTCGGTGTCGGCTTTCGAAAGAATTTATTTTCGGCTGCATGCAAGACCTATACTCTGCAAAAAATGACTACTTAAATTGCATGCAATGTTCTCATTGATTTTCGATGCCCTTGAAAATTCAATTATATTTCGTGGAAAACGTGCATAAAAATATGCATTCTTTTACTTATTCGGTAGAAAATCACGTCTTCTTCCAATTTCATACTCAAAGAAGAGTCTAATTCGGTTTTAAAAAACTTTTCTAATTCCCGAATAATTTTGAATCCGACCTACTGTTACACTTGCATTCGGGGTTTCAAAACTACAAGCTGTATATTTTCCGTGTACGGAAAACCATGCATTTCTCTACGATGTTAAGAGGAGACCATATGAGGTTCATAAAATTAAGCAGTGGATTTGAGCAATATTGTTAACTTTACAAGCCACATTCGTAAATGCAGATACATGACGTTTCATGAACGGCCATTTAACGGTATTAAAAAATCTCACAATTAGAAACTTTTTTAAAACCGAATTATACTCTTCTTTGAGTATGAAATTGGAAGAAGACGTGATTTTCTACCGAATAAGTAAAAGAATGCATATTTTTATGCACGTTTTCCATGAAATATAATTGAATTTTCAAGGGCATCGAAAATCAATGAGAAAATTGCATGCTATTTAAGTAGTCATTTTTTGCAGAGTATAGGTCTTGCATGCAGCCGAAAATAAATTCTTTCGAAAGCCGACACCGCGAGGTAACTGGATCATTATAGATTTATGCTGCATCATGATTAGTTTTACAACACTACTTAATTTATCTTTTCGAAACGAGAACGCATTTCGAAATTTTGGTTGACATTTCATGAGTTATCACATCTACTTTAGTTGTCTCAGCATAGCGTAGATGCTGAGGATTACCGTCCGCTCCAGCACGTCCGTGTCTGATATCCGGTCCTGCCACCTCAGCTTCAGTATTCGACGAAGTCAACTGAGGTGGAAGTGGTTGAGTCTCCGCGGCTGCTTCATGTACATCGTCCAGGTCTCTGCTCCATACAGCAACGTCAGGAGGATGACGGCTTTATACATCTTCACTTTCGTGCTGGACTGAAGACCATGACGATTCCAAACTGTTTGGAAGACGACCAAAGGCCTGACTGGCCTTGGAAATCCAGCCTGCCACTTTGTCGTCAATTTTGGTGCTGCAGGAAAGGGTGCTGGCCGGATATGTGGAGTTGTCCACCACTTGCACTTGGGCTCCGTTCACGTTGAGTTGGGGTGCGACGTAGGCAGCTTCGGATGGCGGTTGATGCATGACCGCCGTTTTCTTCGTGTTGATGGCCAGGCCGAAGTTGTCGCGGGTGGCGGCGAAGAGGTTGATGCTCCTTCGCATGTCCATTTCCGAGTTAGTGTTGAGGGAACGGTCGTCGGCAAAGAGAAGTTAATGAACGGCAGTTATGGATACACGCGACTGAAAGTGCATCCGTCGCTGATTGAGGTGGCGGTCCATCCTGTAGGCGATGCGGATCCTGGGGCGTTCGCCACGGCAGGCGTTTATGAGCATGGCAAAGAACATGAGACTGAAAAGGGTGGGCGCGAGGACGCAGCCCTGCCTCACTCCGTTGGTCACTGCGAGTGCCTCTGAGACAGCTCCATTGTCCGTGACTCGCGCTATCATGCCATCGTGGAGCTGACGCACCATCTGAGTGAATCGCTCTGGGCAGCCGAATTTCTACATAATTTTCCACAGTCATTCTCGACTCACCATATAGAAGGGTTCCGTCATGTCCATGAAGGTAGAGCACAGGTGGGTCCGCATCTCCGGACACCTCCTACAGTTGGCTGGCTTCAAAAAGCACGCCCGTGGTCCCACGATGATGGCGGGAGCTGCACTGGATTACGGGCAGAAGATCTTGTTCCAGATGAGGATTCAGGCGGTTGAGGAGAATGCAGGCGAAGATGTACCTGACGATATTAAGCCGGGAGATGCCTTGGTGGTTGTCACAGAGCTGGCGGTTACATTTCCGTTTATAGAGATTCACGATTGACGTCCTCGAAATGCTGCGGGGTTTCTCCCTGACGCCACATCACCTGGAAGAGCGTTGTCAGATGATCCGTGAAATGGGGAACACCGTACCTGTAGATCTCAGCGGGGATCGCGTCCGATTCGGGCGCTTTCCTGCTGAACAGCTGCTGCACAGCCTTCATTGTTTCGTAGAGAAAGGGTGGGAGGTCGAGGTTCACGTTGGTCTCCACTTGAGGCAGACGGGCGATGGCGGCGTCAGAGATGGTGGGAGGACGGGTGAGGACGCCCCTGAAGCGCTCGGCCCATCGCTGTTGCAGTTATGTCTTCTCAGTGAGTAGGGTGGTTCCGTCGGCACTGAGGAGAGGAGCGGTTCCTTCGCCTATGGGACCGCAGACAGCCTTGATCGCGGCGAAGAAGTTCTCACATTCTTTGCTGTCAGTGTAACCTTGGGTCTCCTCGGCCTTGCGAGCCGTCCAGTGGTCCTGCATTTCGAGTGACCGTTGTTGCACAAGGCGGCGACTACGGTAGAAGGCTGCTTTATTGTCGTCGGTCGACATAGGCCTTTTGCAGACGGTTCTCCTCGGCAAGCAGGTTGAGAATAGCGGCGGCGTCGTTGTCGTCAAGTCAGTCCTGGTGTTAGCGGCGCGCGCGACCAGGGATGGCCAAAACCGTCAACTGGGCTGTGTGCCGCAGTTGGCACTATCGGTTCACCACGGAGGCGTTTTCGTCAGCGGCGGTGGCTGTAGCGACTGGAAGGCTGGCTAGTCGCTGGAATGGGCATAGTGAGCAGGCAAGACAACAAAGTAGTATTCAGCTTGCCTGGGGACGCTTACCTAGAGGTCTCCTGTGGGACTGCAGACTAATCCACATCATCGAGGTGACGAGACGGTAGTCGGTTCACCCGTCGGCATCCGGAACCGTTTTTGTCACCAGCACGTCCTGCTGGCCTCGCCTCCCGACGACGACATAGTCCAGCAGGTGCCAGCGTCGCGTCCGAGGGTGCATCCAGGTGGCCTTCTCTCACAAGGGAAGGCGGAAGTAGGCTTAGGTCAGGAGGAGCCGGTGTTCTGCGCAGGCTCGTATGAGGAGCAGGTCATTGTCATTGGAGCCGTTGAGACCATGGGGACCCAACACTCCTCTCTAAGCAGCATGGTCTGTGTCGACGCGGGCGCTGAAGTCATCAAGGACAATCAACTTATCCGCCTTCAACACAGTCGCCAGGAGTTCGTGCAGGTCCTCGTAGAATTTGTCTCTTGCGGTGTCAGGGCTGGTCATCGGAGGAGCGTAGGCTCTGATGATGGTGGCGAAGTTGCCTTTCCGGAGAGGCAGACGGAGGCTCATCAGGCGATCCTTGATGCCTGCAGCAGACAGGGCTGTCGTCCAACGATGTCGTTCTGCATGGTAAAGGCGACGCCTGCGTCCCGTCGCTCTTTCTTCGGGCGACAACTCCAGTTGGCCTTGTTCGGAGAACCGGGTCTCACTGAGTGCGGCGATGTCCACCTTGTAGCGCACCTGTTCACGAGCCACTAGCGCCGTCCTCCGTTTCGGTCAGGCAACCATTTGTAATCAGAAACACAAAAATGAGCACAAACACGGCGCAGAGGGTCCTCATACGGGGTCTACCAAATTAGCTATAGGCATTTCACCAAGGCCAATTTTATCTGCACCTCACCAAAGGGCATGCTCTGTCCCTATATATCGTGCATTCATTCATGCTTAAATAAGCAGTATTTTATGGCGAATTTTGACCCACGTTTGAGAACGACTTTTAGTGAGATACTGAGGGTTTTTGATTGATTTTTGGGGGTTCGCACAAATTCAGTTCTATGTTTCAGAAAGTATGCACGTAAAATCTCATTGTTTGTGTCAATTAGCATAAAATTGAGTTTGCTTCAAGTTGTGAGCCTCAAAAAGGGAATTTGGCTGCATATGAAGCGCTCAGCTTGATACATGATTAATGCCACCGTCGTGATGATGGGTTTGATTGAGAATCCGAAACATCAGGCCAATAAACTTGTTGTTCCAGTAATCTCATCTTCTTCTCCTTCTGAACTGTTTCCTGGAACTCGCCTGTTCGCTTCTGTCAGAACGACAAGGGCAAACAGAAAAAAGCAGACAGGGAGCAGACAAACAAGCAAAGGCAGCAGAACAGCGTTCGTTTACCTTGGGACTTACTTACCTTGTGGCCTCCTACGATGTTCCAAACGGAGCCTCATCTCGGAGATGTCGATGCGGTGATTTGTCCGGCCGGCGAAGCCGAGATTACCGCGTGCGGAGATGCACACACGGATACCCTCACTTGATTTAGCCCGACGGCCGAGGTGGTTACCGGAGTGCGGCCGCTAGACAGAGCCTAGGTCTGGGCAACCACAGGTGAGAGTTCGGCGCCATCAAATGGACGGTAGGCGTAGTCTACACCTACAAGCGAGCGACCTATTAGGTCCGTCACGAGGACCCAGAGCTGAACACCCCTACACCTGACAACCGCTAGCAGATCAAAACTCCGTTATCTGATTGAATCGACATCATCAGGTGGTCGGACAAGAAAGGTGGCGCTGACGAGGACGGGCGATCAGCCGTCAAAGAAAACTCATTTTTCCGCCCCACACAGCTGGCTTTTGCACATTCTCTAATGCAGCAGTTCACTACTTTCACGAGCATAGCAGAGTTGATCAGGGTTCCATCCGATCTTGTAAATGATGCCAGTTTGCTGACCAACTTGTGTTGGGTTCTCCCGAGGTATGCGTTGTCAGTTCACTATTGCTTTTGGTCTTTGGATGAATCCCATTTCAGGTTCATCCATCAATTTGACGAATTATTCAGACGCAGAAGCAACATGAGATACGGTAAGTCAGCACCTCGAATTTGACCCCACTTTAGGATTTTCCCCACTTGCATTCGCTCACATTTCTCGAAAAAAATACCAGAGCACCTGATAGCTATAAGGAACTTCCGGTGACACTGAACTTCGGTCTTATTTCATCAATGAGTACTGCAGTGCGCTTCCACATTGCTATAGAATTTTCACGAACGGCGACGAATTTTGGAATCCCAGGCGCCGGTATAAGTAAGGAATAACAATGCTGGTCGATAACCGAAACTACGTGTTTATTTGACTAAGCTTTTGAATTCGTGCAGGAGTCTAGCGTCAGCGATAAAAACATTAATAGGACGGACGACAGTTGTCGGGGGTGTTAGCAACCAACGACGAGGGCGTGGAGGTGGCTGCGCAGGACTGTGTATGCCGGCGTCGAATCAATTGACTGACTTCTCATTCAAGACCCAGGCTTCAATCAATCCTCGGCTGGCCTTGTTTCCGGCGTGGGCGATTATCTTGGTAGCTGCGGCCTTAAACACGTAACCCATTTAGAAGGTGTTGGCAGCCAATTGCGATAATTTGTCACCCTATCGCAGACCTTTTGTTCATATGTTCACGATCGAGTATGCACTCAGTCTGGCCTATGCAATTACAAGGCCAGCTCAAGCGCAGGATAGGATTAAATAGGCCTGACTGCCCCCTCTGATTTAATCGGTCATTAATTTTCATGGCCTTGCTGTTTATGGCAGCTTTAGGTCGGTTGACAATTCCAACACCTTGTCCTGCGGACGCGAGCTCCGTCGTCTCTGAAATGGCCTTCATGCATAGCAGAGCGTGCCATATCGTCGGTAATGTTCCTGGTGGAATTTCCCGGGGCGAGCACGTAGGCATCGGCTTATAAACGTCTTCAAATAGCTATTCCGCATAACTGATCGCGGAGGTATCGGACCTCGCAGACTTTCTTTCCTTCTGATTTGCTACAGTGAATCTGGATCCGTTTAAAAGTGCTCTCACACAGTTTCTCTCGTTAGCCATCGGAAGGTTGTTGTGAAAACTGAAAAGCTGCTCGATGATTGAAAAGTAAACAAAGATGACTCAGTAAATGAAAGATATTTAAATAAATCGCCACCTGAAAATTTGAAGCAGGTCAGGAACCAATAGAACGAACAACCAGTAGGAAAGAAGAACAGTAAGTGCCAAATAGAACAGCTGTGAAAATTTACTGCGTAGCAACGTGGTGCACACAAATGTTAGACAAGCTGTGGAAATACACCCTAATGAACGCAAAAAATGTCACATAACGCAAGTAAGATCGCATGTTTGTAGCTGTGTTGTAAGGCAACATAGTAATGCAATGCAAAAATTCAGGAAAAATAATGGGCAAAGATAAAGTATATGACCGTGACAGGGTTACTATCGTGAACTGCCTACCATATTTATCTACGTACCCGTTATTCGTTAGAGTTTTTGGTCGGAATCCAGTCATGCCTTTCGGAAGCTCTAAGCCTGACAGGATGACATTCCCTGGACTAGACCGCCCCGTTTTCGCGGTGCTGCAAAAATGTTTATATGGACTTATTGTTCTGTACCTCCTACACGTAATAATTTATTAAAAGAGAAGAGATTCGTCCCCACTTGAGGGGGTGCAAGAGGCGTCTTCCTATGCATATTCTCACCGTCCACATCGCCGTCATGTCCGGGTACCCAGCGGAGAACATTACCGCATGAATTACACCTTTACTTCCTCAATATGGGATAGAAAGGTCAACAGTGCCTTCTTAAGGCCCGCGGTGTTCAGCCTAAATCAAAAGCGGTACTGTACTCTGTCCACGTGGGTCCATATCGCTCTGCCGGACACGATACCTCTATCATGTATTTTTCTTTAAAGGCGACTCCAGTACGCTTCTATGAGGTCACACCCACATAACTCCCTCTACCACAATTCCCGTAAGAAACGCTCCCCCCCCCCGGGAACCTTTTTTCTGGCCCCGGTTACATACTTTACCCTTGCCTAGAGGTAATGTACAATAATGGAATGCATGATGAGAGTAAGTAATAATGCTTATTTTTCTCCTTTTAAAATACACACCATCGTCTCCAGGTCACAGAAAAGTCAGACAACTGCAGCTCGATTTTCTGACGAATGTGGGAGAAATACTCGAAGCTATAAACTCAAAGGTGATAGAATAATGCTAAGCAAGGGGACTGCTACGTAATTTGGCAAAATGCCAATGTGGACGCCAAATGCATCAGCATTTAACAGTCAACTATACCAAGAATTCCAAGGATTGGACCACAGGAGAACACACCAATGCGACTGAGGCCTACTGAAGCAGACTGAAACGGTGGCTCCAAGAAGGAGGACTGTGTCGGATCATGCAATATGGGTTCACACAGATGGGGTTCAATATCGTCGACGGTGTGGTCTAGATAGCGTTAGCTCAAAGCAAACACGGGAAATATTCCTGTCGCATACTGCGGGAACATATCCGGGTGCAACGCCTTTCCGAACGAGGAGCCTGAAGAACTCCTTTCTGAAGGAAATTTAATAACCGTTTTTAAGTAAACTATGTACACAGACTCAAATAAATACAACTGTCTTATTATTGTATATGTGAGGGACTACGCACAAATGTTCATGAAGAAGTGAATAATTAACGGTGAACGCGTTCGACAACAGAAACCGTTTGGAGATGTCGAGGAAACGGAGCGTTTGCTTGCTAACCTAGGCGAAGTAAATCAACATGCAGTCGGCGATGCTTACGGCACGCTTTGTATGGTGAGTACTGTCAGGGTACAAAAGAGCATAACCACTCTTTTTGAAGGACTAAGTAAGTCACGGCGCACAGAATCGACAACGAAATGCAATGCAAGCACAGAAGGTGGGCTAAATCATGAAATTTCGAACGAAATTCCGAAGTGCGTTTTCGTTTCAAAAAGATTAATTAAGTAGGGTTAATTAATTAAGGTTGCCTGCAGCATAATTCTGTAATGATTCAGTTACCTCGGGATACCGACTTTTGAACGAACTTCCTTCCGTCTGCAAAAAAAACAGTACTCTACAAAAAGGGCTACTTAAGTAGCATACATTTTTCTCATTGATTTCCGATGCCCCTAAAAGTCCAATTATATTTCATGGAAAACGTGCATAAAAATATTCATTCTTTTGCTTATTCGGTAGATAATTACGCCTGATTCCAATTTTATACTCGAAGGGACATAACTCGGATTTAAAAAAGTTTCTTATTGTGATACTATTGAATACCGTGAAATGGCCGTTCATAAATCGTCATATCTCTGCATTTACCAAAGTGGCTTGCAAAGTTAACAATATGGATCAAACTCACTGCTTAATTTTACTAACCCTATATAGTCCCCCTTTATTACCGTAGAGAAATATGTGGTTTTACGCACGCGGAAAATATACGGCTTGTAGTGTGGAAACCCTGAATCCAAGTGTGACGGTAGAGCCGGTTCAAAATTATTCGGGAATTGGAAAACTTTTTAAAGACCGAAGTATTCCCCTTCTTCGAGCATAAAATAAGAGGAAAACGTAATTATCTACCGAATGAGAATGAATATTTTATGCATTTTTTCATGAAATATAATTGGACTTTTAGAGGCATCGATAATCAATGAGAAAAATTCAGGCTACGTAAGCAGTCATTTTTTACAGAGCGTAGTTTTTGAATGCAGACGAAAGGAAGTTCTT